GTGACACCTAACAACTCAATCTTGCTTTAGCTGAACAGAGTTGAATTTGAGCTACAGAAAAAAATAAATGTGACCTCTTTATATTTGATAATACTTGCAATTATGATAGTTCAAGTGCTTTTGAATTCCCAGTGACACTACCTAGAAAGTCTGGTCATGACTATAACAGCTGTTAATTACCAATTCACACAATTATAACAATGAATAACTTGATGAAAAATGTAGTCACACCCCCCAATGGCCTTTAAAAAGGGAAGATTCACAGAAGAGCCCAGCACATGGGAAACAAAAGAATAGATTTTTTCTCTTTTGCTTGACTTCCCTCCTCCTTCCACCACCTCTAATTCTACAGAATTTTAGACCAACACAACTTCTCAAAACTAATGAATTCTACTCCAGACTCTGTACAGTGTGTGTTTTGTACAGAAAGGGAGGACTTCCTATATACCATAGACTGGTGTCCCATAGGAAACTTACTGCATATTCCATTCATCTTGCTTGTCAGAAAAAGCAGCACATAGTGGATTGACAGGTGCTTGCTGCACACTTTTCTTCTCAATGAAAATTTAACACTCATACTAAAAACTCTCCCACCCTTGAGCCAGTGAAGAGGGAAAGTAGATAAAATTAAAAAGAAATGCCACAAAATAGAAATAAGTCAAAATTACGTCTCTGATGAAATATTTCCTCTGGACACCAGGCAGCTATTAGGTGGTTTAGTGAAAGCTTAAGATGCCTCCAACTGTGCAAATGAGGTTAATGGACTCATTTTCACTTTGCGATTCACTTTCTCTGCTCTGCTTTTTTGTTTTATGGAGATAATTGGAAACAACAAAGAAACATCATTCTCTAGAGCTTAGTAGGGAAGGGAAGTTCACTTGTTTCCAAAATTCAAGACAAGAAAAGGAAGGAAAATAAAACCAGTAGGGAGAGAAGAATAGTTATACAGAAGGGTAATAGGCAATTAGCACCCACCCTCCCACATACACCAGCACACATTCACACAATCTACAGAAATGCCTGATCTTAACACAGCTTCCCCTAACATTTTAGGCTTGAATAAAACATCACTTCTGTCTGCCCCTTCAGAGGATCTGAGTAGAGCTGGGAGACAGCACTGGAGAGGCACAAAGCAAGGGGAAAAAAACGACTATAACTGTAATGAACATAATATTCTCTGACAGAGAAATAAAGAATATTCATATGATTTCCTCATGATTTACTTACGATTTTTCAAAACTAGAAAAGTTAGTTCTATCGGCAGAAGACACAAAATATTCTTTTTTCCACATCTCCTTTTTCAAATACTGCTGTACATGTTGCAAAAATCTGAGTTTGCTGGTCAATGACAAGCATTTGTATTCAAATGAATGGCTAAGTAAGGAATAACCAGAACAAATTTAGGAAACAGTTTCGAGGGAAACTGAGAGAATGACCATCAGGTTTTCCTTCTCTAAAAGCCTTTCTCAAAATGGTAGCTGGAGGCTGCTACTAGAGAGGGTGGTCGACCAACCAGGCCCAGTATACCCCTCGATGTCCAAACAAGCTATTCCTTTGTTTATGCAATCCAGTCATTGAACACAGTGTTCAGCTGGCCCTTACTGTGCCTGTTTGCATACATAGAGGGATGGACCACTCTGACTCACAGGCTTGTTCCTGTCTGTGCCAAAATTTGTAACGCCAGGAATAAACACACAACCACCCTATGTCTCTGCATTCCGGTTATAATGGACTGAGTCATGATCAAGTTCTAATGAAAATACTGTAAAATTAAGGACTTATACAGACATCACTGCAAACCTGTGTATAAATCAACTTAATAGTTGTGATTTGCCTATAATATTTTATTGTTACATTAGGCATACTAATGTTTAATTTATCCACTCAATCTTTAATCCATTCTCAATTTTGATAGATTGTCTATTTTATTATGAAACTAATATGGGATATTGCCCAGGAAAAGTCATGAAAAAATACATGAAAATGATAATTTTTCTAAAAAACGGATATTGTCTCTAAAATTCATATTTAAATGTGTTACTTCTCTTACAGTAAAATCTGTAGCTAATTTCACAGAAAAAATATATCTTGTGTTCTCCTTACTAGTATGAGGCAGTACCCATTTCACTGTAATTATTTTTCTTTTTCAATTTTCCAATATATTTTTGATAAAATATTGTACTGCAGTACTGAAATGCAACTTTTAAATCTTTTCTTCGGCAAAAACAACAACATTGCTTGTAGTATATATTTGCTATATTGACACTAGGAGGCAGGAATAAAAAGAGGCACGCTTATTTTGGAATCAGGGAAAGGACAAGTTTGGAGAACAGAACATTTGCATACATATAGTATTTCCTTCAAAGATGAAAATAGGAATATTTCTGTTGGAAGAGAGTTCATAGCATTCTAGATGTTCTGTACAACCTCTCCAAACACAAAATCAATAGACTGAGCCTTCTCGGTATTTTGAAAGATCAAGTAATATAGCAGTGGGATTGGATGAATATTATAACGCTGCCATTTTTAAAACTCATCATTTAACTTCTGCACCTATTACATTTTCATAATACAAAGACTTAATAGTCTAAGTATCTAACTATTGTATTCAGTTGGCTAGCAAAGAAATCAATTAGATTCACTTTCACAATGAAATGTATCAACATCAAAGAATTGATAATTCTTTCTCCAAGTCATCTAGCAGTATGCAGAAAACCAAACATACTGTTCTCTGAATTTGAGGCAGTTTCCTAACAAATTACAGATATTTGCAGAAAAGAAGTATTTGATGCTATCTTATCTGAACTTATTCCTAGTGAAACTAATGAAAACATTTTCTTTGATGACTTCCTGGCCCAAATGTTTGAGGTTCCTCACTATTCTCACCTCTACATACTCTTCTTGCAAATATTGTTTATTAAAAGGCATAACTTGGACTGCTTGCAAAGAAAAATAAGGAGGAATACAGAGGGAGCAGAACAAAAATACCTTTTCCTTATAAGATGCAGATCATGAATATGAAGATCAGGCTTTAACATGCATCAAAAAGATAGGGTTGAAGTTGCAAGCAATCTCTAATTAATAGATAAATATATATCAAAATAACTAATATGTATATAGCAATATTCATGTGGGAACATACTAAAATACATGGGTTCTATAAATAAAGCTTCTGCAGATTCATAGTTTCAGACAGTTAAAGTGCAATAAGTATAGCTTTGCAAATGCAGACTTATTTTGAAATAAAATTGGCCATGAAAGTTAGAACAGCTCTATTCTTTTCATATACCTTTAGAAGACCTTCCAGAGGATAAAAGATAATAAAGAAAAACAAATGCCCCATAGTTTATGCAACAGGAACATGCATTTGGATGAACAGATGTGAGAATGAGACTTCAGGGAATTCATGATTGACTTTCATATCCCACTAGAACAATATCTACGTGCACACCTTTTTTTATTTTAAGGAAGGATAATGGAATTGGAAAGTACAGGTCAACAATCACAACTCAAGCAGATTTCACAGTCCAGCTGAAATGACAACAAATCACTCTGACTTTTGACTGAGAAAGGGTATGAAACTACTTGGAGGAACTAGACAATCTATCCCTCACAACCAAAGAGTCAGAGGCAAAAGACATTTCAGAAGAAATCAATCAATCTCACTCTCTCCAGAAATGTAATGATCTGGGGATTTTACCTATCAAAATTAGTAGAATTTAACACTGGATGTATTATGTATGGCATTTCTTTTCATTTTCTCCTATGTGTGCTTAATAACTTCATTTAATTAGCATGTCCTAGGCTGTTTTGACAAATTGAAGGTACTATGTTTTGACAACTAAATAATTTTCATGATTTAGCATGTGGCAACTGGCTATGCAGGACTCTTATTTGAGGCAATATGCTAAAAACCCCAGTATTAGCTGAATTAAGGATATCGGAAAAGATGCATCTTGCAGCAACAGGAAGTTTAACTATCATGACAGACCAACTTTAGTTTGATAACAATGAAATGAAAATAACATTGAAAATATTTTTCCTTTTCTACTTAGGGCACTTCATATACCACTAAATTTTCCATCCTTTGGGTGATGTTATGACTATCTATAGTATCACCTTTATATTTTCTTTTTATTAGATATGCAACTTGTAAATTTGAAAAAAGATCGAGTTTCAACACTGAAAAATTCTACTTTTAAAATTTGTGTTTTCTGTCTGAAGCCTTCATGTACAACCTCACGTGTGGTACACTGCAAAAGTGCAACTTGCAACTTTTTTATGTCAACATTTGAGCTTGCTGAGAATTCTGCTAGAACAAAGATTGTAGGTCATTGCTTAATTGGATGTTTTATAAAAAGACTGGCTAACAATATGAAAAGTAGTACTTACATTGGAGTTAAAAAACCCTTAATGACCCTCCCCTATAAGATAGTAAGTAGTGTATCAAAAATATCTTTGGCATGCTAATGCACTTTTTAATAGAGAAATTTAAATATGAATTTAAAAAAAATCCAAGAGTTTTGACAGTCTTTTTTTGATTTTCATAAATTCTAACATAGAAGAGCAAGAAGAATAAACATTCAAGGTACAATTTTCAAGATCTCTTTTTACTACATGGACTGTCAAAAGGCAGAAATAATGAACAATCCAAGGCTTCAACTTCAAGCTATGCAAGCTTCTTAATTACCCACAATCATGATAAAAATCAGCAAAAGGTTAATACTTGTCCTGAACAATGATGTTTTTGAAAAATCATCCCAAGTTAGATTGACCATTGTAGAGAACTTCTCAGTGTTTCTTTTGTAAGGATAAGAAGATATAAAAAGATTCTTAAAAATGAAATCGTTTGGCAGTTTACTCTTTGATGAGCAGCACCTAGGCATTTAACCCATAATAAAATCCACATGAATGAATTACATCCTGAGCTCCATTTGACCTATTATATAGCTTAAAAGACACAGCACTTTAAGTACATATTTGTTTCAATATTTTTTTACCTCCAAAGAAATATTTATCGCCAGTCTTAACTTGTAGAGGACTGTTTGTTCGAACAGCTGAAGCTTCATCTCCATCAATGGTGAGGACAGCAAAATTTTCCTTAGCTAGGAATCGAACTTCATGCCACTGCCCGTCATTGAGACCAGAGCCTATGAAGAACACAAAAACATTGCAATATTTTAGTTAGTCCAGCATTTATTATCTCTAAGTGTTTTGTGGGTGTCTCTCCCGGGCTCATTACATAAGGTTTAATAAAGGCTATTGCAGAAATGAAATCATTTTACTGTGATAACAAAGCATTGTTATTAAAGTAACTATTACCAAAACCTCCACATTATATCATAAATACAAGACTTGTAACTACCAAAATGTCCATGCTGTCAGGCATAATTGTATCTAACCACAGATGTTGTCACTCACCTTTCCCATCAAAAGGCCATATTCTACCTTTCATTAATAAAGAATATGTCTTAACTGCTTCTATGATCAAGTTTAGAAGGAAAATATATTGATTCATCCATTTAACTATAGTGAGTAACAAGCCCAAAGGGTACATTATGCTCATGTTAGACATATATCAAGCTAGGTACTTCCAAGAAAAGGGAAAGGAAAAATAGGAGGGGAAAACATGCACATAGATGGTGAGTTCACAGCTAATCCTGTCATTGGGATGTGGGGCTACTCACAGAAGATGAAGACGTTATCACAGAGGCACCGCAAAACCAGAAAACCTCTGCCAAACCCTACAATCTTAGGGGAGCACCATCCTCCCCATACTGACAGCAGTAAAGCAGATGGATTTGTTCATTCATTCAGATCTTTTTTAAAAAAAACACCTGACTTCATTCACTTCTTATATTGTCTCCAGCATCTGGCAGGAAGCCAGTTTGTCTGGCAAGTTAAGAACTGCAAAAGGGTACTAGTTTGTTCAAGCCATTACTGTGCAGAGAGGTCATGTTGGGTCAACAAGTAAGTAGCAAATGCTCTAGTAAAAACAAATTCCAAGTTATAGAGCCTCTAACAAGTGACATTTTCTCCACCTAGATAAAGGTGCTAGGTCACCCTAGCAAAATATCATTTGCCAAAATAAATCACAATGCAATATAATGAGCTGTTTCTAAAATTAAATGGGATGTACAATATCAGGACAACTATAATGGAAGACAAACTTTCAAAATATTCAAAAGAATATTACCTTCTATGAAAAAGAAATAATAGTCATCGCAAACAGATACATATAAACATTAAATTAATATTTTTTTCCCTGAAGTTTTCACATCTTTGTTTAAGATATCAGATCAAGTCCTGAAATAACATGGGGTGTTATACTCAATACTCTTGGAATATTCATTACTATGAATAAAAGTGGCAGAAGACTCTTAAAAAACATATCAGTAAGAAATGTTTCTACCAAACCTGGTTCAACCTAGGGTAAGAACAGATGAAAGACCTAATATACTTTCTGCTTGTAAGCTATTTTTCTTTCATTTTCATTACATTTGAAAAAGAAGAAACAGAAAAAAACCCCATAATTATAACCAGGAAAAAATTAATTTCTATTGATAATAAACTGAGAAAGTAAAAGAAGACACAGCTTTGTATAGACTTCCAAACTAAAATTGTTACAGCATGTGTTACTACAACTGAAACTTATAAGAACATACTTAAAATCCCACTTTTCCAGCCTGAGATGACCTAATATTAAAAAACTATTTAATTTTTTTTATCAAGGTATTCAGTACCACTGTGAACTGAACAACAATGACTAGAGACTCCTGGACAAAATTAAGAATTTGCTGTTAAAACACAAGGGCCAAAAGCAGTGGCATGAGTTGTTCAACCACAGAGGGTTGAACTAAAAAACTCTCTGGAAAGAGGGATATTGCAGATACCAAGACACAACAGGATATGAAACAAGAGGGTGTCAGCCTACCTTGCACTACCATTTGTATTGTGTCAAAGGAGAAGATTTTGCACATTAACAAACCGTGACTAGAGAAATCATGTCACATCTCCAGGGATTCTTCCAAATGTGTCCACTTCCTATGAACATTTCACACATCACTGGTTTTCTCTTGCCTCTGGGTAGAAATTTCAGTTGTATGTGATGTATTTATGTGGCAAATGTCTCTCTCTTAAAGCTTTCACAGCAGTAACTTCCAAATACACTGTCGTTCTTGCTTTGATAATTTTTTTTTTGAGAATCTTCACCAATTAGACAATTACAGACTCTTCAGTATATTCACACAAAATAATCACTAGTTTGTCTTCCTCTTAGCTACATTATTAATTATCCTTATGGAAATTTGCAGTATGACAGTAACATTCCCAACTATTCTGGCTCAAAGTTGTCACAAAAATGTTTTTGTAATTTTGTGTTTGCTTAGAAAACTTTTGACTGCTACATTTTTTTTCCTGCTGAGTTTAAAGATAAATGGTAATGAGTATTGGCCACTATCACTCACCAAGTACTCACTGTTCCCAACTAGTGTAACTGAGAGAACCTTTTATCTCTGCCGCTGTTTTAAACTGCTTTTTATTTATATGTTTTAGCTGCAGTACTGTCAACCCTTCTTTTTTATGAAATAATGACTTGTTTCAGGGACTTAAATTATTATCGAGATACATGATATATTCAATATATATATATTATAGGGGATAATTCTGTACAGCTGCATGAGTTGTTTTTATTGTAATATTTTATTAGATGCCTCATGTATATTGAGAGATTATTTTTGCTTGGACTTAAGCTTAGCTGAGATCTTTCTGTAAACCAAGACTCAATATTAAGAGTAGAACATGGCTCCTTATAATAAAAGAATTTTCAGCTGGAAAGTTTAGCATGGACAATATGCCAAATGCACAATGGTGATCTCTCATAGCAGTTTTATTTCCCTTATCTGAGCTGATACATGTATTTATTTGCTTTTTGGTATACAAGTTGAAAAAAAAAAAGACATGCTGCCACCAGAAACTCCCTACTGAGCTCTGGAAAAGATTGTTTCATATGCAAAATAAATATGTTAATAAAATGTATTCTCTCTATCTAGGATTTCTATTTAAATGACATTAAAAGTAGGACTCTTGAGTTAGGCACTTTGATTGAACAAGAAGAAACATGTTTTGCTTCTTATAGACATGGAAGAAGAACTAGATTAACTAATACAAAAAAAGTACAAGAGTTTAATACATAATGGAGAACTTAGAAAGATAACATCTAGCTGAGTTTTGCCTTGAGGAAAATTACAGTAGCAAAAATCTCAAATTCTTCTACAGTTAACCTTGTGTGATCAAATCTTCCACTGAAAGGTACTGACCCATGCTTATAAATGAATTCCAGATTATACCGTCTGCTGATATACACGCACAAAATTCTTCTGAAGTTAACAGCATAACATCTGCTACATTAGAACATTGTCATAATTTTGGTATAGGACTGTAACCTAAAATTCAGTGAAAATGTTTAAGAACAAAACAGGGAAAGAACAGTAGCATCAGCTCCATGACGCACCAGAGCAATGTAAGGCTACAGGGTTGCATACGGTTCTTTAGTTCCTACTGCTGCAGTAAATATTTTGCACTAGAATTTCTTGCCAATTCTTACTAGAAGATCAAACCCTCTATACTCAGGCTGAAGGCAGAGGGAGAGGTTGGTTTGCCACTGCTTTGACTTTAGCCAGCCAGAACCATGTTTCGGGATGGTGCGGTAAGCACTATTCCTGCCTAATCCCTCATTATTTCAGTACAACTTTGCACTAATATTTCTGACTATAAGAAAACAAACCAACAATATTTTGTTTGAAACATTCAGCTGTGTTCAAATATACAGCAATATGTCATTAATATTCAATCAGAAAAATAACAAAATCACCAGGATGTAATCACAAGAGCCATGCTTTTCTGTGTTTAGTTAATCATGTTTTTAGACTGGAAAAGCAAAATCACAGCTTTTCTATAGTAAAATTTTAGATATTTAGATTTATGCAATAAACTAAGTATACAATATGTTTGGGAGTTATGATTCAGAAAAGTTATTTCCATTTTAAATTTTATTCATTTTTAGCTATCTCAATGATCAATAAGCTAAGACAGTGGCAAATGCAGTTCTCAAAGGTATTTTAATGATGGAAAACCTTGTTCTCCAACAAAACCAAAACATTATGACAAATTTTGCCTTCATATTTAAGCTCAGGGTTCTTTTTTAAGGTGAATAGTTGGAAACATGCCACAATTTTGCCCATTGGTGATATTTTATTTATACTGATTTTGATAATCCTTATCAAATCTGATAATTTAACTTCTCTTTATCCTACATACACACTTCATAGAAGAAATCTTTGGATTTTTTTTTCCAGAAAATGCTATAATTTTTTTCTTGTAAATTCTAAGAAATTCTAGAAACAGCATTATACTCATAAATATATGTCATTTTATAGTTTTTACACCTGTCAGATCTCACTCTGTACTGAATTATTATTATTTCTATATGCTCAGCATCTTAATATTTAGATTTAGGTGGGCTAACAAGTACTTTCTTTTCCATATTATGGAACTTAAAGATGCTTGTTTTATGGCTATTATTCTGTCATATTTATCCACATATTTTCACTTTTTTGAGAAAGGCTTTCTGAATTTAAAACACTTTTATATCACTACAATTATTTATAACATTTACTATATCTTTATTATTTAGATGGATAAATTTGAAAAGAATAATGCAGACAAACTACAGTACTTTTTCTTATTTTTGGACTAATCAAATTCAGATATCCATAAAACCATAAAAGAGATAGTGCTTATTCTTTGCACATTCATGATGGCTAAATAATATATAAAAATAAAATAACTAGATGTTGCAGTCAGGGGAGGAAAGTGAATCTGTAACTTTCAATTTCATAATGTATTCAGTGAAAGAAGCATAGACTAATTCAAGTTCCCTACATTTTCTCACTGGTGTCCAACTTGAGCACTTTCACTTTGGTGTAAACTGCATACTTAATTGCAAACAAAACAGAACTTGGTGTGGAGGGTTATGATGCTAAGAAAAAGCAGGTACAAAAAGCAGAAAAAAACTCCTTTGAACTGAAAGTAAATTGGCATTTTCTGACCAAGAGCAAAAACCAAATGTAACTTTGTTTTGATATTTAAG